CTACTCCTACGACCCACTACCACCAAACTACCTACGATACCAAACGAAACAACCAACTACGGCGACAACTTATAGCTAACTTACTTATAGTATCTCTCTCTCTCTCTCTCTCTCTCTCTCTCTCTCTCACACACACACACACACACACACTGACACCAGTTATAATTGTGCAAACTTCTGATAATTATTCTCTCTCTCTCTAGTGCTCTTTTAACCTGCAGCTAAAGCAACCACGTTCTTCAGTGTGCCACAGAGTTCGACGCCCTCAACATCTTGAACCTGCTCAAATCCATTAAGTATATATAAGAGAAATCATTACAGGAAAAGTATATAAAAGTGTATACAATTTAAGGAAAATGGAAGGAAAATAAACTTACTGGTGTTACAAGGAAATACGGTGTACTAAACAGGAGAACCCATTTCAGGGCAGTCTCCTCATCCTCTCTATATCCAACTGTCGCTTCGCTGAATTTCTCTTGTGCAATCTAAGCCAACAAAAAAGAATGAAGAGGAAAATTATTAAAATGCATATTTTGTTTGTGTTTTATATTTTTCATGTATTATGTTATCAGCCGTCTTTTTTTCTATTCATTTTTCTTAGCATTCTTGCACATTCTTCGTTTTCAAACCAAGCTTGTCGTTCTGGTATAGTTTATCAATTTTTCATCTATATTCCTTTTACATCTTGTAAGTCCTAAAAACCTTAGTATTACAATCGGTAAGTGTCCTAGCACCATGCCTTAACTTTTGTTGGTGAAATCTTAAACTTTCTTTTAACCCGTCCCAGATAAAAGAGCTAGGTTTGTTTTTGGTAGACATCCAATGTAAAATTTTGTCAAAACTTATCATGAATTTTGAACCAGCTTTTATTAGAGCAGAATGATATACCATGATTCGTATAGCCGATTCCAATTAGAAATATACTATGATGATGATGATGAAGTGATATTGCGGTACCTCATTAGCAATGTTGGCACCCATGAGAACTGAGCAATTGATGTGAAGAAGTTGAGTGATTAGAGTGGAAATCATGCAAGGGCCCTCTTTCTTCACCTCCATCCCCTTGATGAGAGAAATAGCCTGTGCATCAGGCCTGACCTTTCCTATGAGTCTCTTGCATATGCCCTCCATGAATTGATGTGGGGTTACAAATACAAGCATGGTAGCATCCTTTACTGTCAAATCACCAATTGTAACATACATGCATTTGAAGAATTAGAGAGAGAGAGAGAGAGGAAG